TATTACACAAAAGCACACCCCAACAAGTAACAAAGTTGGTTGAATGTAGACACAAAAGTTGGGGATTTTTGTTACTTGTCTTCTGCATGCCATAACCAGGGTCTTTTAGTCCTCTAGCTAGAATAGGTATAATCAAAGGAAAGGAAGCATCTTTCATTAAGCATCCTAACAAGCTCAACCAATGCCCTTCCTGCATTCTAGTAGACATACACAAGATAAGTAATTAATGTACATAGTTCTCAAATTGAATTATTTAACTGAGAATAGCATTAAACATTAACAAACCTGTTGCCTTTCATTAGACGGTGATGCAAGTCAAGATATCAAGGTATCCATCAATAAAGGCATAATTTACTTGAGCGTCCTAGGGGTATTTGCTACTATACATGCAAAGTAGCCTATAAAAATAAGAAATCAAACAATTTGTCAAAAGTTCATAAGTGTTTTGAAATTCTAAATAGATATGTACCTGATGCACTGATACAACCGATAAAGGGAATGGGAAAAAAGGTTAATAAAGGCAACTAAAGGGGGTCCGTCCTAAATTCCTAATTATCAACGACCAAAATTTGTAATTCTAATTCCCTTTGATGAATATTCCTAACAACAGCCCCAAACATCCCCTTTGATGGATACGTATATTAATGTAAAAAATTGATTATTAAAACCTTTAATTATCAAGAAAGTAATATTTGTATTCCGTAACAACATTTAATGGCTTATTCACTTCACCTTATTTTTTGCTGAATGGAAATTATTTTTGCTAAACTTAGTTTATTTTTGCTGAATTGAAATTATTTTTTTACTGATTCTCAATTATATTTCTTCTTTAAGGTTACTAATTTTTGCTAAACTTAAATTATTTTTACTAAACTGAAATTAATTTTATTATCTAAACTCATTTTTGCTCAACTGAAATTATTTTTACTAAAGTGAAATTATTTTCACTAAATATTTTTTTTATGGCGAACTGAACAAGGCCTAAATATAAACTGAACCAGAACCTGTTGCAGCAGGTTCTCCATTTTACTATCCGGAATCAAAATCTCGTGTATAGGTTTCAGTTCCAAGTTCCGATACCTATTCAGGGTACCATAACTTTTTGCTCAATTCTAGGTAATAGTAGTAGTGGTAGTAGTAATAATAATTAATAAATACTTAGTATGCATTTTGTAATTTATACTTTGTTCATTTTGTAATAATCTAATTAATCACAACACTAGGCATTGCATAAAATCTTTGGAAAAAAAATTATAGATTGAAAGCTAAATGAGCATTTTTTTTATATATATAATATAAAGTATACGAGTAATATGTGAGAGAGCGAATTTCTTTTTTTTTTACAAAAAAAGTATAAGACAGTACAAAGTTCAAGCTATTAAATAAAAAATTAATTCAAAAGTCAAAATGATAACGTGTTAATTCTACTGGTCTAGGTACTCAAACACAAACTCGAGCATCATAAGCAATTAAGCACCCAAAGCCCAAGAGTACTACTCGTATAATATAAGATATACGAGTAGTATGTAAGATAGCGAAATAATAATACGAGTAATAAAAAATTAGTCTAAGACAGATAAAGTGCAAGATATTTGAAATCAACCCAATTAAACACGAGTAAAATAAAAATCATAATTCAAAATTCGAAATAATAACGTGTCAAGTCGACTAATTAAGATAGCCAAACATGAACCTGAGCACCATAATCAATTAAGCACCCAAAGGCCCTAACGAGTAGAACACTCTGGAATAATATAAGAACCCCGTGGCTAATTGGCAATTGCCAATCCCAATTTTCAAATACGCGCGCTAAGCCTTTCTCTTACCTTTTTTCAAAATAATTACAACAGACTTCGTTACAGTTTGTTACGGGTAGCTACTTCAACTTCTCTCTCCCTTTAACATCTCTCTATACTATTCACTCACTTCTCTTTCTAAAACCAACTTCTCCTCTGAAATCAGCAACTCAGATACACTCAACCTCTTTCTAAATTCAGCTGATCAACAATGGAGGAATTCACCGAAACAGAGGAGAATGTCGCAATTTCCCAAGATCCAGAGAAGAATTCCTCTCAAGAATTAGCTGAAACAGAGGAGATGAAAACAATTGCTGACGAAAAAGCAGATGATCAGAAAACAGAGGTAAACTCTGAAAAAGCAGAGGAGAAGACACTTTCTCCCGAAGATGCTGCTAAAATGGCGAAGAAGAGGAAGATGATCGCTAAAGAAAAAGCTCCAATGAAGGAAAGAAGACCTGATAAAGCCGCTAAAACGGAATAAACAGAGAAAACCGCTGAAATGGAGGTAATATGTGAAGAAGCAGAGGATATGATGATTTCTCCAGAAGAAGCCGCTAAAATTGCGAGGAGGAAGATGATCGCTAAGGGAAAAGATCCAATGGCGGAGGAAGAACAACGTACTATTCCAGGTTAATGTTGAATGTTGTGATGATGATTTCGACGATTTTGAAGATTTATACGAAGAAATCCTTGCTGAACCAAATTCGGAATCTAATAGTGACGAATTCACTACTGCTAGTAAGTTTGATGATTAATTTTATCAAGTTTAATCTAATTGAATAAAGCTAGGGTTAGTAATTGAGGAAAATAACCTTGTTATGATCAATGTATGATTTGATTGAAACCTAGAGTTGGTTTGAAATTGTTTGATTCAAATATTATTATTGATGAAATTGATATATATAATCGCAGTGTTAGTTTGATATAAGCATGCAATAAATGTTTGTTGATATAGTATTACATCGCATGTTACAAGAATTAAATGTTCGTCTTGGCAATTTAAAAATAATGACACGAAATTTTTCTCAACGAAAAGTATTCTGAGTACGAGGAAAAGACCGATTTTGAAACGGTGTGTGACAAAATGTTTGCCGAATACAGTACATTTGATGCTATACAAACCGGAACTCGTAAGTTTCCAGATTCTTTTTGAAAACATTACATAGTGATATTTGCATGAACAGGCCTTATTATAATTCTAACATTATTTAATTTGTACCAGCATATTTTGGTACGGCAAACCTAAATGAGAGCGGGGATTGTGCCGTGGACTTGTTTGGGAAATTTGGCGGCCATTGCATTCTAATGGCATATGAAAACGCCATTGAAACCGGCAAGTCGAAAAACCTTGATAAAGAATAAAGAGATCCTTTCATGGTTCATTGTGAATTCTAACTATTTTGTCCGCCCATTTTTATAAAAATGGTGATTTGACATTTGTGGTTGACATCTTAAGGAACCACGTGGTTAAATCGGAAGATCGATATGATAGTATTTTGGGTTTTAGTAAGAGGCATAAACTTGGAAAGGCTGATCAGGCAACCCTGCAACGGGCAATGATTCACGTGACTTGCGTTTTTATCAAGTAAGATGTACTGGCAGAAAGGGTTGCAAGGATTATAGTGACAGCGTTTGTGTTGGAAATAGAAGTGGAAGTAGTACGTGATGGTTGCAAGGATGAGAGTATTATGCATGGAGTGAATTACATTACATTGCATGGCTACTCCTACTCTTATTTATAGAAGGTGTAAGTTGGTTCTTTCCCCCCACATACTACTATACCTTTACTCTAGATCTTTCTAGGTTACTTAACATTATCTAGGACTTCCCTCTAGACTAGTTTTTTCTAGATATTTTCTTAAGCCTATTCTAGAATATTGTAAAATAGCTTTAACTAGAAATTATAAGATTTTTCTAGATTAGTTATTAGCTTATTTTTAACAGTTTGTTGGTAATCTTTGGGGTGAAGAGGTGATAGAAACATTACACCTTTGCTGCTACCTTGGAGTGGTTGGGATGATAACCACACTTCAGACTTAATAACCACACTTCAGACTAGAGGTGGTTATTGAGTAGGGTAGCCCAATGATAATAGGGTCAGGGTCAAGCTTATAGGGCTTTTAATGGACAGGACCCTTATTGGGCAGGGTCAATATAGGGTCAACATGTTTTTCCAATTTAATTGATAAAGAAAATACATAATGTAAAAATAATTATATAGATAAATTTGTATTCATATGTATATAATAATGGCTTTGTCCAAAATTTATTTTAATTGATATTTTGAAGGCCCGCATATTATCGACCCGCTAATGATCCGCGACCCACATTGACCCACCCTATAAAATGTGACCATCTTTGACCCGACCCGCAACCGACCCTGACCCGACCAATAACCAGGTCTACTTCAGACTTATGCTTATCTTTATTTGTGTTTTCTGTTACTACTAGTTGTATGCAGACTGACTAATGTAGTTAAGGTTCACCATATATACACAGCTTAATTGGACAAATATCGAGGTGATTTCATTTATAGAAAACAATATAATTGTCCAATCTCAAAAGAAAACAATCCTACTTACTATAGAATCACCACATCAATACCTTGTCGAATTTGCTTTGCAAGTATCTCTGCTTGTCTTCTCCAAAAGCTGATACATTCAAGTGCATAATTTGTAAAGTCCACAAGCATGTGTGTATTTCCGCCCATTTGGGGTTGATGAGGATCAAAAACTAACTTGTTAAGCATGGGAGCATGCTCGGCCAAAAAAAGTGCTAGATTCATCTCTGGATCACTTCCTGAAAATCGACCAAACTCTACAACCGAAAGGTGCTTATGCGCACGTATTGTTTCAATTTCAACATCGTTTTGTATCGACATCGCCGGTGATCTTGATGGTTTACTAATGGTATAAAGCTGCAAACCAACATCAAATGATAAATAGATCAACCATGATATCTTGAGCATTTATTAAATTTCTAGGGTTAAACCAAAACTTTTACCTTCAACTTGAAGGTGTGCAACACAGGGCATGCCTTAATGAAAGGGATCAGAGTAAGAAGGTTGTCTTTTCCGTCTTTCGAAAACGTAAAATATATCTCCAATTGCTTAACATTAGGAAAACTCGGAAAATTAGTTGGAAGAGATGTTTCCTACGTACAACATCAGAACAACCCAAATCCAATTAAAGGTTAAAATAATTAAGAGACATTAATTAATACATAAGTAATGGATATCGACACATAATTATAATTAAAATAGTTAAGCGACCAACTAACCTCTAAAGACCAAGAAAGAGAGAGTTGCTCAAGTTGAGTAGAAAATTTTGAAAAGACATTCAATTTGCGATTGTGATACCAATATCGATCCTCAAAGGTTACATTTACAAGTGCCGAAACACTATGATATTGTACCTCTTGTTTGATACCCAAGAATTTAAAGCAAGTAAGATTTGGAGCTGAAATCTGGATTGATTTAATATTGTTGCACCCAGATAACTCAAAATGCTTCAACTTATAGGAGGAAACAACAACTTGTGTTTTAGGAAAAATCCCCACCGATCCACACAAATAAAACTCACAATTCTTGACGGTTAGACGATCAAGATTGAGACAATTCGACAAAACATATTCAACCACATCTCCCTCAACTACCAATGCTTCCAAGTGGATAGTTTTCAACGCATTATTATTGGAGAGAAAATCCTGCCGGATTACGTAACTATTCTTGAGCATAATAGGGTGACCATTTTGAGTTGACAAGTTCAACTCCAAGTTGCTTACATTTTTGCTTAATGCCATAGCTATCCACTTATCAATATTAGTGGTATACGATCCATAAAGAGGAAAATGAATTCTAAAAGTAGTCAGATACGAGGCACGATTTCCAGTCATAACCTGATTAACCCATTTACAATATCTATTAAGTTGATAATTATACGATGGTCTGCAAACCGTTTTAGGGCGGTGAATCAAGTGAAAATCAGGGTGTTCGAAATCAAGATCAAGTAAGTAAGTCCAAACATATCTCCACCTTTTGGAAACAAGGCTAGTTCTTCCTGCTGATTTCATGTCCACAAAAGATAACAAGTGCAACAATACATCATCAGGCAAATCACCAATTCTATCCACATTACTATTATCATTGATTAATAAGAAGTTAACCTCGTTATCGTTATTTCTCCTTCTCTTTGGAATGAGGTTGTTGTATAAGTCTTTTGAGGTAATAACCTTATCAAGACAGTCCTTCAAATTCCTCGAAATACGGTCTGATCTTCCTTCATAATAAGCATTAGGAGAAGTATTGCAATTTATAGCTCCGGCAATGATCGCACGGGCTGAGGTCAAGTCATCCATTCACCGATATAGTCGAATACAACTGTCTCCTTAATGAAAAACATTAAAACTGTCAAGCTTAAAGATTGTAAACACAAATTAAATCTGCAGAATATATAGATTCAAAATAAATGCAACAAAGTGTTAACTAAACCCTAGATCATACATATTCAATAACAAAGTGTTAACTAAACCCTAGATCATACACAAATTTTAAATGCGACATAATATATAGATTCAATATAAAGGTAGTGTGAACTAAACCCTAGATCATACATATTCAATAATTTTATTAAAGAAATAAGAAGAAGCGTACCTCAAAGAAGGGTGTAGCGCCAAATAAATCTGAAATTGCAAGGCAAAAGCTTGAACCTTATATTCTTACTAGTTTTGTACCCGGCGATGCCTGGGTTGTTTATTGAATTTTAAGAATTAAGATAAATTTATAGTTCGAGTTAACTTATGACCACACCTAACAAGTCTATATAGTAATAAAATTTTATTAGATTGTGAAGTATATATGTTATTTTAACTGATTAGTACATATTATAAATGAATGATTTACGCTTTGAACTACTTCATTCGTTCCAAAAAATATTTTGATACAAAAAATTAAATTTATATGATAATTTTTGAGAATTATAATCTAATAATTTTTTTGAATAAAATTATAATTCAATTTGTACATCTGAAATATTGGTATTTTATCGAAAATAAAACTCTAAATCAACAATTTTATCCTAAATTTCTATCTTATAAAGTCTCGTCAAGTGTCGCTGCCTCGTGACCTGGTTAAAAGTTTAGCTTTATATATTAGTTATATGATTGAGCATCCAAAATATAATTCTCTAATAAACTTAGGAAATAGTTGTATCTAAGGAAACAATTCTGAAGGCTAAAAAAAATTATCCAACACCTTTCTAAATACTATCTGTATGTATTATCCCGTATCTTTTACGAGTAAATATTATTATCTCCACTAATAAGGAGTAATAACTTTAGTGTTGTTCCCGTAAAAAAAAAAATATATATATATATATAAAAAATAAAAATAAAAAACTTTAGTGGAAAAGTTATTGAACAAACGGCAAGAATGACAATAAGCCAACATCACAAAAGAATACAGGCCCATTGAAGGTATACTGAGCCGGGCCTAAATTGGGTCTCTTTGTATAATATCGAACTATATAATCAGGCCTTTTATGGGTGTGTTCGACAAAATATAGCTATGAAAGTAAATGTCAGTTATGAATGTGCTTTTAGCTATGAAGATAGAAAATTTAAATATAAGTGTTTGGTAAATTAGCGGTTGACTAGCTGTTACATATACAAAATCAATATTTTATTTTTCAAACTATATATTAAATTTTCAAAAGCTACTTCAAAAGCTAATAAATCTAACGTTTCATAAAAGCTAACTTCCCCACTAAAAGCTACCATAAACACTACTTTGTCAAACATTTATATTTTTTTTGTTAAATAGTGGTTTGACTTGCCCTATATATATAGTTTTATATAATTACCTTTCTTTTCGTCTACTATCTATAACTTTATATTAAAGGCGAAACCAGGATTGACACATGTCATCTCCTGGTTAAAAATTTCCCCTCCAAAAGTTTATAATTTTATTTTTTTTTTTCATTTTTTTAGCCAAAGCTTCTTAGAGAAGTTTTTAATACGTACAAACTATACAATAATATTTCACTTCCTATTTGATAAATATATTCCATTTGTATACATTCAAACAAAGATATATTTTTTTTATACAATACTAAGCAATGTAATAGTTTTCTATCTATAACTTTGTAGTTCATAGTTATTTTTAATAGTCGTGCATATATTATTCTCTCTGTATTCTTTAGTGTGATAATTTTTTTTTAATATTTTTTGTAATCACAAAATTTTCATCCTATTTTGCAATTAAGAATAATTTTTTATAATTAAATAATAGTGTTAAACTAATAATAGGTATTAAGTAATAAAAAATACCGTGAATAGCACGGGACTTAACCTAATTAAGGATTAAAACCCAAATTAAGAACAAATTTTTAAAAAAACAGTGTCACCTTTTGTCTTTATTTTCAAAATCATCATGATTGTCATTAATAATAAGACTATTCAAGCTTATTGTTTAATTTAAATTATTATTATTTATTTTATTTTATTTTATTTTATTTAAAAAAATCTAAGTTTCTCCGCTTTAACTTAGCTTGTTGACATATTTTAACCAATAATACTACTTACAAATTTAACTTGACTATATTTTGTTATAATCTTCTCTCAAGTGTAAGATAATTTTTTTTTTAATAACTAGACATATTAAGGTTAAATTTATGCACGAATAAATATTGTATCGACTATTAATTAAACAGAATAGTATGACTATTAAAAATTATAAAGGTAAAACTTAAAGCAACGTTGATATGGTGTATTAAGCATGCCCGGTCGTAATCCTGGGCACCGTGCCGTGCCGGGCCGCCGCGGGCCGTGCCTGGCGGGCCGCGGGCTGGTTCGTGCCGTGCCGGTCATGCCGGCGGGCCCAGGATTTCGTGCCGTGCCGTGCCGGCCATTTTCACAGGCCAGCCCACGGCACGGCACGGCCCTCGTGCCTGGCGGGCTCGTGCCGTGCCGGCCACGTGCCGGGCTGCGGGCTGGCCCGCGCGGGCTGGTGCAGTTTTCAATTTTTTTTTTTTTTTTTTTTTTTTAATGACAACATTATTAATTAATAAGTTTATAATGTATATAAGTTATAAAATTATAATTATAAGTTTTATAAGGTAACTTATAAGTTTATAACTTATAAGTTATAAGTTATTAAGTTATGAATTTTATAATTATAAGTTGAATATTTATGTTTTATAATTTGTATATTCAATATTTATATTTATATATTTACTTTATACTATTACTTTAAAATTTAATGTTTATGATTTATTAGTAATTGGTATAATTTTATTTTATTTTAATATGAATTTACAAATTGTAACAAAACGGGGAAAAAAGGCAAATTGGACTTTGGATGTGAATAATGCGTACTTTATATTATTATTACTTGAGTTGAGAAAATTGTACAATGATAACAATGATAAAAATCATACAATGATGGTATTAAACAAAAATTGGAAAATGATAAAATTGATATTTTTAAAATCGTACAATATACAATAATTGTCTATTCTTCTTCTCCTTCTTCTTGCTCGTCTTCGTCTTCGTCTTCGTCTTCGTCTTCGTCTTCGCCTTCGCCTTCAAGGTCATCGGCTAGTTGCATAGATTGGGAACTAGCCGAACCCGAACCGGAAGCGGAGGTTCCTTCTTCGTTGTCGTTGTGGTCGTAAGAACGGTCTTGTGAGCGATTTTCCGCATCCAACCAATCTTTGAAACACACGCACATTTCTAGTGTTTCGGGTTTTAGACTTGTTCTTCTATCGTCTAAAACCCTTCCGGATGCGCTGAAAGCTCGTTCGGAGGCGACGGAGGAAACTTGGATAGCAAGAATGTCTCGTGCCATTGCCGCCAAAGTTGGATGCTTCGAGCTTTGTTGTTTCCACCATGCAAGGAGGTCGAGGCTGTTTATCTCATCGTCGTCCATGCCTTTGGTGAAGTCGTAACTCAGGTACATCTGCAACTCCGAGACGTCGCTTTGCGTTCTCCTGATTGATGAATCACCTGAAAACCTTGAAATCAAGTTAGTAGCTTGTGAAAATAAATGTTTGGCCTTCTTACTTACGTTTTTAGATGGTTGGGAAGGCCCTGAGCGAGGAACGGTGCCATATTTGGCTTCATAGACTCTATATAAAGCAAAAAACTGATCCTTCACATTAGTCTTATAGTTTTCTACATCATCGTCAAGAAACATGCATTGAAAGTAAATGTCAACTAACATAAATGTGTTTTCATACTTTTGCCTAGGATCTAATATGGAAGCAAAAATATAAATCAAAGGAATCTGACTATAATATTTACGCCACTTTTTTTCCATTGCTGGAAGATACTGATCATAATCACTTTGATCGCGATGATCAGCGAAAAGTTGGGCGAGTAAGCATGCATTAGAAAGAAAGTTTTGAGCACAAGGATTGTAAACAGTAGAAAAACAATACGTCATGTTATATAATAACTGTAAAAATTGCATATATCTTTCACAGTTATTCCAATCATCATCATACAAAGCATTTTGTGGAAATTTTTGGTTGTAAAATAATGTTAACGGGCCCTTGTACTCAATTGCCTTTGTTAACATGTCATAGGTGGAATTCCACCTAGTTGGGCAATCGGTTCTAATTTTTATTACCCTTATCTTTTGTTGTTTTAGAAAACTCTTCCATTCTTGGTATCTCATGTTAGAGCTATTAATAGACATAATAGCATCTCTGATTTTGCTGTAGTATGGGCCAATTGCCCGAACTCCATCCTGTACACATAAGTTAAGTACATGGCAAACACATCTAGTATGAAGAGCTTCACCGTCTAATAGTACATCGGTTAAGTTTTGTTTGATAAGATTAGCTGTGTATGTCATAGAGGTTGCATTATCAAAAGTCATAGACATCATTTTATCTCGAAGGTTGTATTCGTCTATTGCTTGCATTAAATGGTGAGCAATGTTAATGCCGGTGTGTGGGTATTCCAGCATTTTGAAATGTATTATTCTTTTTTGTAACATCCATTGATCATCTACCCAATGGCAAGTCACACATAAATAGTGATATTTATAACCACTATCCCACGAATCGGCTGTTAAAGATACTCTACAGTTAAGGTTACTCAATTCGGCTTGTAACCGGACTTTGTACTCTAGGAAATTTTTCATTGCTGCGGAACGAACGGTTTTCCTAGAGATTCTTTTATGTTGGGGTTGTAGTGCTTTGTTAATGTAGGTGTTGAATGCGTCACTTTCCGAGAAAAGAAAAGGTTGTTCGGCGTGTACTATCATTTTTCCTAGTTCATCCCTATCCCTCTCATAGTTGTATGTAAAGCCGTATGGATGGAATTGGGAAATTTTGGGCTGGGTTGGATCACTA